CTGCCGGAACCGGATGGGGTCTCCAGCCAGCCTGCCATTTGGCTTGCAGTCCTGGTCATTGCAAGTTAGCCTTACATATGTACAAGAGTTTTAGTACTTCATTAATGTGACAAAGTGAAGAGAAAATTGTTGCATCGAATTACTAATGGAATGGTTTCGATGAGAAATGATAAGAATATATTTCACGACTGAGACGTTGATATGAAATTTGAGTATTTAATAGAGAAGTCCAGTTCATATATGAAGAAAAAGAAAGGCATGATGTACTACATTGACGGTGATTATTAGCCCATTATGGTAGTTCAAATCTGATAAAGAATATATTTCATGACTGAGACATGGGATTTAGAGTCTCAGTTCTGATATGTACATAAATCTCCTTTTATTTTGTCATGCTACTGATAGTTTTAATATGAGACTATTTGTTCTGTTTATGTCTTATAAATAATGAAATGGCATATATGTTAAGTTCTCCTATTTTAATTATATTATGTTGTCGATGATGTATGGTTCTGGAATTTGGAGATTAACATTCAGGCTTTGGTATCTTGAATCGTTTTGCTTTCTACTAAACTTTATGCAAACAATTTGTCCTATCTGGCACTGGCTTTTTCGAACAAATTTTTGTCATGTGCTTGCAAATTAATTATCCTTTTGACTTAGTATACTCAGATTACCATGCTTTTGGTATATCTCTACTGTTTGCGCTCTATACTAAGCTCCTTAGTACTGAAAGAATGTTGTGATTTTCCTTGAATGTACAAGATCTGTACACGCTGGGTCACGGTGCTCAGGCGGGCAACGCGCGCCAAGGCGCGCTTCCGATCTAGTTAGACATTATCGCAGGACCATGCCACTGAAGTGTAGGCCAATTTGTAGGGTTTTTTTTGTGCTTTTTACAATTTTCTCAATATATAAACAGATGTCTGCTCATTACTTTTGCATTAGACATTATCGCAGGACCATTATCGCAGGACCGAGCCCTCCTTCTAGCGTTTTTTTGTAGTAGTATATTATTTACTAACAATATATTTTCTCCGTCTCAAAATAAATGTGTTAACGTTGGTATAAAATTGTTTTAAAATCAAAACACTTATTTTGGGACGAAGGAAGTATATATCTAAACTCATGTTTGCTCATTACGCTTCTGCTTCTACATTTCACACTGCCATTGGACCATGTCACTGAAGTGTAGGCCAAAATTTAGTCTTCTACTCTTACAATTCATTTGGCCAGGCAAACAGACTTGGTTCACTTGTACCCTAAACATCCACACAAACGGTTTGCGCCACCGGAAGTAGCAAAGGGGGGAAATTGCATTTATTTTCCTTCTCCTAAGAGCATTTACCGCCACAACCTGTTAATTTGGACCCTCAAACATCCGTGAGCGCGCGGGCCTCAAAATTTGCCATTTGCAATCACTATTTTCAAACACCAAATACATGCAAACACATGCGTGTCAATTATTTTGGATGTTTAGTCCGTGTTGGGCCGGCGGGGTTGTTATTAACGCCAAATAAATTTCTCGTAGTTAAGATTTAACATCTGTGTTGGGCCAGCGGGGTTTGGGGTTTAGTCCTACCTCGCTGCGTGAGTAGCGAGGCGACCAACTTAAATAGCCGTGTCGTTGAGAAGTGATAAGTTTCGGTCATCATTGTACTCTTTGTGAAAGATATGGACTGTCAGTATTAATCTTCTCTCTTCACAAAGGGAACATCGATGGCTGTCCGGCTCTTTTTGAATCACAATGTGTTGAACATAAAGGGCAAGGTGCAGTCGGGTGCAATGGTGGCGACGGAGCTAGCAGAGATCCGACGCGGAGGAGCAAGTGAAAAGGGATAGGTTAGAGGGGGATTTGGTTCACTTTTTGCGGGGGGTCAAGCTGTCAGTTCCAATGTGGCAGACACGCCCGGGCCGCCTCATATCCGCCCTACATTTAGATTGGATATGAGGGGCGCCATTCAGCCCGAGCATTCGAGACCGACTTGAGGCCGCTGCATGGGCCGGGTTGGTTTTTTTGACCGGTCAGTGACCCGGGCATCCTCCCGGAGGGGAGTTTGAGGCGCGAGGCTGTAGATGCTCTAACCCCACAAAGTGATGGTTTGCGCTGAATTCTAACAAAAAAATTATCTATATGCTTTGTTCATGCCATAATATTTTGGTCAGGCAGATTCCCTTTATTACCACAGTGCATCAAACCGACAGCGTGTATATTAGAACAAGAATGAGCAACTGGCAGAAAGCTCTCACAACAACATGCATAGCCTGAACAAGAAAACCGTTTGATTCTTTTTTGCAGGGGAGATGGTAACAGTAGATTAACAGATAGCCGCGTCGCATGGTCCAATGGCAGTGCCTGCTCCCTCCCAACACAGATTAACAGTGGCTCCCAACACAGATAACATCCAATGGTAGTGCCTGCATTTCAGACAAAAAACGGATCCGGCTTGCCTGCTCCCTCCCCATGCTCCCATCCGTGCTCCCACTTTATCCTACGGTTGTCTTTTTTTCTCTTTTCTTTTTAATCTAATCATCTCCCCCCCTAATTTTAAGGGGATGGGGCCGGGCCTTATTTTGTTCCAATCAAATCAAGCCACGTACGCGGGAGCACGGATGGGCACACGCCGGGGGAGCAGGCAAGTCTCGTCCACAAAAAACCCTAACCTCTTGCACTGCCTTACTGCATTATGACAGGCTGTGACCAACAAAAATAACACAGTTCTGTGTATAGAGTTGGAACAACCAGTAGTAGCAGACTAAAAGACCACTGTGTCAAGCATGGTCCCTAGGGTCTGTACTATGTTCGATGACATCAAATTGGAGACATGCTCCTCCAAGTGCTTCTTTGCATCCTGCCGCCCGACATTTGCTATCGCTAGTTTCTCAGGCGGCAGCTCATCCTCCTCTTGCACTGCCTTGTTGTATTTGATGGCCAGACTCAGCATTTCCTGCACATGGTAACACAAATATTAACAAACCACATTGCAGCTTCAACTAAACTGTTCTTCTGAGCGCAGGTAGGAAGTAGAATGCTACACACCTGAACAGTCTCCTCGTTGGTCTTTGAGTGGGTGTCGAATTTCTTTAAAATCAACCCATCAGTCCATTTCTTTTTGTGTAAGTTCAGCAGCATCTTCTCCTCAAGCTCATTTTTCCGGTAATTGATTGCAATGGAGTAGTAGTGCCTGTTCAGCCCGTGAATAAGTGCCTGGCAACACAGAGATAACACAAACATTTATGATAAATTATAAAGACGAGTTCAGAAGGATCAGCACTATGTAGTACACTAATACTTACCTGAATAGATGGTTTGTTTAGGTGCCCAACATTGGATGTTGTCTGCCTTGGCTCCTGGCCAAGCATCATGGTCTGAGGGTTAATGAGACAGAATGCATCGATGACTACCTTCCCCTTGACACTCTGGATGGGATCTATCACAACAGCAACTGCCCTGGGGTTTAAAGCTTCAAAACTCTGCACGTCCAAGTTTTAAGATGTTACATCTCACAAGCATAGTCAAGTCAATTCAGCAGAAATATTTACATAAGAGTAAATTTCGCCCTTTGTGGAAAAACAAGAGTAAAATCAGAGCAGTTTTTTTTTTAATTTGAAATAAATTAGGCTTTGAGGCTCGTTGCGAACTTATTTATCACCGCCTCTTATGATGGGACATTTTCCCTTTTCTTATTCTATTCAAGATCAGATGTATACAATTCAACTCAAGTCGCTTCAGAGTTTGGACTTGGGAAGACACACAAATGTGAAGCTCATTAGACTAGCCTCTGTGGCAGGGTTGACTACCACAGAGATACTTGTACCTAGGCAGCAAACATATGACAACTGAAACAAAGTATATGCTATCTTTTAATCCTTTCACTTAAACAGATTAGATTGTTATATGCATGTTTATTAAATTTTTATTACATATATTTTTATGAGTTGGCATACAGTACAGTGGGACTGCAGAACAACCAGCGCATCTTTTTGCCAAAAAAAGTTTAAAAAGATAGTTTTTACGATGAAATGGAGAACCGTAAACGATATGTGAGCATGCCGTAAAAAACGATATATGAGCATGGATTAGTGAATTACAAAGCGGCACAATGGAACTGTGGCAAAAATAAAATCAGTTGGTATATGTTTGTCAAACAACGATTCTACAATGCAACAAAGGAACACCAAAAAATATCTGGCATTTGCATAGACCTGCTGAGTATTGATGTCAACTCCTGAAAGCCAGCAACCAAATCCAGGATGCGAGTGGTACCACCCTACCACCATTTCAGGTCTGTAAAAGCAACATATGTATTAATAGAATTGTTTGCGTACAAAATAACTGAGCAAAGATCACGCTTCATCATCAAACATTCACCAAAGAAAAACATATATTAAAGCCACGGCCAATATAATTAATAAAACAATTGGCTGGCAGTAAGCATAAAGAAATCTAGATATGTATCCTGCGCTGCATGAGGGGTGATTATGTACATTTAGGAACCTGTAAATTTTGAAAAGAATAAAATCTAGAACTTGATTTTCTTGAAACGAAATGTAACAGAGCAAGCCATGACTAACTGAATTCTAACACTAGCAGAAGTTTTGGTGTCCACAATTAAGCATAGAACAGACTGAAGGAATACTACAATCAGGAGAGGTATGAACCAAGTTACTATCGCTTATCAAGCATCGCGTACCTCCCGGTCTGCTTGAGCATGTCGAGCATGTTGGTCTGGAAGACGTGGTCGACGGCCTCGACGCTGACCCCGGTCCCGCTCTGCGGCATGGCGAAGACATCCACCACCCTGACCGTGTAGTCGTCGACGAACTCGCCCAGCATCAGGCCCATCACCTCCATGGGCACGCCGACCCTCCCTGCATCAGCAGCAGCGCGTGAGACCGATCTCGAACCATGGCGGGCGCTAGCCTGGCTTGCCAAATCCGGGGGTGGAGAGGGGTGGGGTGACTAGGGTTAGGGTTACCGACTGACCGTGCTTGAGCATCTTCAGGAGAGCGAGGGAGGAGATGTAGACCTGCTCGGAGGAGTCGAGCAGCGGCGAGTCGCTCTCCGGCTGCCCCATCCCGGTGGCGCCGCTGAAGATTCTCTGCAGCCGCTCCATTTTGCTTCTCGCCGCGTTTGCACAGGGCGCGCTTATGTCTCGCTTATAGCGAGGCAGCCCGCCAGCCCGCTACACAGTACTGGGCCAGCCTAGTAGGAACGCGGGTCGTCACGCTGACATCGTGCTGGCGCCACGATAATTTCTTTCTTATTTTTGTTTACATTTTAAATAAATATATTTTATAAATAAATTTGCTTAAAATAAAAATCTGAATTCGATTTTTGTAAATAGTAACAAGAAAAGGTTAGCACAATTTAAAATAAAATGTTGGTAGCTTTCAAACAAAATGTTCATGACCATAAAAAAATGTGACTGTGTTTCAAAAAATACAACTTTTTTTAAAAAAATGTGTATACAATGTAAAAAAATGTTATACGTAGTATACAAAAATGGTTTGTACCATTCAGAAAATATATGCTATATTTTGAAGAAACATCCTCACATTTCAAAAAAAATGTTTGTAATATTCACAAAAACATTATATACAAATGTAAAAAAATGTAACATCCTCACGTTTCAAAATTTTTTTTTGTAATATTCACAAAAACATTATATACAAATGTAAAAAATTGTTCACGTAGTTGAGAAAAATGTCTATTACCATTAAAAGTATATTTCAACATGTATTTAAGAAAAGGTTGACCATGTATTAAAAGAATGTTCAAACACGTTAAAAGAATTGTACATCATGTATTTGAAAATTATTCATCATGTGTCAAAAACCTAATTCACGTGTACTGAAAGCACAAGTGCTCTCTGGGTGATTTTGGTAATTAATGTCAACATATCTCTTATTGGACTAATAGTTTTATCTAGTATATTCCAGATAAGTTCAACAGTGACGTGGCAATGACAAGATGATGTGGAATCCCCTTCAAAATGCTAAGGACAAGGATTGGCAAAAGCTCAAGACTCTATATTTTTGTTTAAGTGATCCAAGATCACATTGAGTCCATAGGGAAGCCAATACTATTAAAGGGGATGGGACGTTGCTTAATGATCTTGTTGCTCAAATGCTTAGCGATGTTGCTTCAAAAACCCCAGCCACTTTCTCTATTCACATATGTCCTAAACCCTAATTTCCAGCTCGGCCACACCGACATTTCCCATCCGGAGCCACCGAGTTCATTTGGACTTAGCCACTGTTAATTCGGTCTTACTGATACGGATCTCGGTCGCACCAAGATGGCCTTGTCAGCGCTCTGTGACTTGTTGCATTCACTTCGGTCCCACCGAGTTGGCTTGACTGATTCTCTATTGCCTTATTGCTTCACTTCAGTCCCACCAAGATGAGGTTTTCCCTAAGCCCTAGCACATCGGTCCCACCGAGTTGTTCCAGTCGGTCTCACCAAGATTACTAACGTTCATATTTTTGTACAGATCAATGCCACTGAGATGGGTCAAAAGTGTGTAACGGTTGGATTTTGCGTGGAGGCTATATATACCCCTCCACCCCTTCTTCCTCATGGATGAGAGCCATCAAAACGTGCCTACACGTTCATCATTCATTTTCTGAGAGAGAACCACCTACTTATGTGTTGAGATCAAGAGATTCCATTCCTACCATTTGAACCTTGATTTCTAGCCTTCCCCAAATTGCTTTCCTCTCAAATTATTCTTCCAACATAACCAAATCTGTGAGAGAGAGTTGAGTGTTGGGGAGACTATCATTTGAAGCACAAGAGCAAGGAGTTCATCATCAACACACCGTTTATTACCTTTTGGAGAGTGTTGTCTCCTAGATTGGTTAGGTGTCGATTGGGAGCCTCCGACATGATGTGGAGTTGAACTAAGAAGTTTGTAAGGGCAAGGAGATCGCCTACTTCGTGAAGATATACCCGAGTGAGGCAAGTCCTTCGTGGGCGATGGCCATGGTGGGATAGACAAGGTTGCTTATTTGTGGACCATTTGTGGATGGAGCCCTTCGTGGACTCGCGCAGCCGTTACCCTTCGTGGCTTGAAGTCTCCATCAAAGTGGACGTACGATGGCACCACCTATTGGAACCACGCCAAAAATTATCCGCGTCTCCATTGCGTTTGCACACTCCAATCCCATCCCTTTACATTCTTGCACTTGCATGCTTTACTCTTTCGCTGCTCATACTCTTGTTATGCTTGTGTAAAATGTATTATGTGCCCTTTAACATGTGTTAAACTCAACATGAACTTGAAGAAACTAAAAACTACCACTTTTACTTGTTAAGGGTCTAATCACCCTCTTCTCGATCCTTTCAATTGGTATCATAGCATTGGTCTCCATTGCTTTGGTTTAATCACCTTTTGAGGAAGATGGATGAGTCTATGTTCGGGAGTTTTATACATAGAGTGCCTATTCTTAATGGGGAGTTTTATGGTTCATGAAAAAATGAAATGCTTGAGATCTTCAATGAATATAATTTGAGCAAGTATACTCTTAGCCCTTATGTACCTCTGAGTGATACTTTGCATCCTACACCCGATGAGTATCTTGACATGGTTCGCAATCTTAGGACTATCGATATTATCATTAGAGGATTTCCTAGAAATGTGCTTGTTTGCTTGCCAACCGTTGAATGCGCATATACTATATGGAATTATCTTGAGGAACGCTTTCCAAATTACTCTTAAAAAATCTAGATGAAATTCTTCAAAAGTCCATTGCTTTTCATAAGATGAAGCCTAGTGATCCCAATTTGATGAATGTCTATTTGAGCTCTGTAATCTTATGCGTGCAAAGGGTGATGTTGGAACTTGGAACTATTAGTAGCATCATCACAGAAACAATTAGAATTCATAAACTTGAATATTGTCATGGTCATAAATCTAATGAATCACTTGAACTAGGTGATGATCACATGCATGACGATGATGATGACATTGAGCATGGTTATTATGATGAGGACGAAGAATTTGATATGAGTGTGAAAATACTACAAGGAATTTTAGTCTCATGGCAAATCTTTGAAATTACATATCTAGAGGAAAAGAGTGGATTCTTGATAGTGGATGTATCGATCACGTGATCGGAGATAAAGACATGTTCCATGAGCTTGCCCAAAATGATGGTCCATGCAAGTATGTGAATTTTGGAGACAACTCCAAGGGTAAGGTACCTGGCCTTGGTAAGGTGGTCATATCCAATGATAGCTCCATTCAAAATGTCATGCTCGTTGAATCTCTTGGTTACAATCTTCTTTTCGTATCTAGACTAGCCGACTTTGGTTTCAATGTCTTATTTATCGAAGTAGATTGCCAAGTGTTTCATTGAGATAATCACAGTATGGTCTTTACCGACATTCGTAGAGGTGATCTATACATTGTTGATTCACTAAGAGAGCCCAATCTCGTACTTGTTTAATTGCTAAATCTTCTAAAGGATGGTTATGTTAGAGAACGTTAGGACATGTTGGCATGTGAAATCTTGATAAACTCATTAAAGGTGATCATATCCTTGGTGTTAAAGATGTTATATTTGACAAATATAGACTTTGTAGTGCTTGTCAAAACAAGTTGGAGGAAGTCACCCCGTGAAGAACATCATGACCACGAGAAGACCACTTGAGCTGCTTCACATGGATCTCCTCGGTCCCAATGCTTATAAGAGTCTTGGCGGTAACTCTTTCGGTTTGGTCATTGTTGATGTTTTTTTTCAGATTTACGTGGGTGTTATTTCTTGATGACAAATCGCAGGTCCAAAAGATCTTCAAGAACTTCGCTAAGAAGGCCCAAAAATCAATTTTAAGTGAAGATCAAGAAGGTTTGAAGTGAAGATCAAGAAGGTTCACTAAGAACATGACCAAACAGTTGAAAGGAAAACACAGATGACCCAAATCTAAAGAGTACGAGAAAAGTCATAGAGTGACAGGTGTATCGACGAAGAAGATGAACAGTATAAATGGAAGAAGAATATGATTAGTGACAATGAATCCAAAAATGATTGAGCAGAACGATTGGTTGAAGGGGAAGAAGTATATAGTCAATAACAAAAATTGTAGTATGAAAAGTAGAAGGAATGTAATGTATAAGAACGGTTGTCGGAAGTAGTAATACAAGATGGTATATTATGTCGTACTCACATGCTTCCTAATTTTCGTCTATTTTTCTGGAAAATTTCTGGTCAAATCAAGTTTTAAAATCAGAACGCAGATTAACTGCGGTGCAGATGCATGTCCCTGTGAATTTCGCAAGAAACACATATCACACCTTTCGTGTCTTGAAAACTGAAAGGATCGATATGGTTGACTAGAGGAGGGGTGAATAGGCAACTAACAATTTTTAACTTTTCTTTACCAAATTAAACTTTGCATCAAAGTAGGTTGTCTAGATGTGCAACTAGGTGAGCAACTTATATGATGCAACAACAACGAAGATACACGCAAGCAAGAGAAGTAACACTAATAAGCTTGCACAAGTAAAGGTAAGAGATAACCAAGAGTGGACCCAGTGAATACGAGGATGTGTTACCGAAGTTCCTTCCTTTTGAGGGGAAGTATGTCTCCGTTAGAGCAGTGTGGAGGCACAATGCTCCCCAAGAAGCCACTAGGGCCACCGTATTCTCCTCACGCCCTCACACAATGCGAGATGCCGTGATTCCACTATTGGTGCCCTTGGAGGCGGCGACCAAACCTTTACAAACAAGGTTGGGGCAAACTCCACACCTCAATCGGAGGCTCCCAACAACACCACGAAGCTTCACCACAATGGACTATGGTTCCGTGGTGACCTCAACCGTCTAGGGTGCTCAAACACCCAAGCGTAACAAGATCCGCTAGGGATTAGTGGGGGAATCAAATATCTCTTGGTGGAAGTGTAAATCAGGGCCTTCTGAACTACTCCCGAGCAAATCAACAAGTTTGGTTGGCTAGAGAGAGAGATCGGGCGAAAATGGAGCTTGGAGCAATAATGGAGCTTTTGGGGGAAGAGGTGGGTCAACGAAGAAGAAGGGGACCCCCTTTTATAGTGGGGGGAACAATCCAACCGTTACCCCACTAAACAGCCCCGCAGAGGACGGTACTACCGTA